CCGGGTGGCAGGGTGGAGTCTAAAGCAACTCCATCTTGCATGCTAATCCACCATGTTGACTTCTGATTAACACCACTTTCAGGAATGCCTCTAAGATTTCTACTTTCACACACCGTAAATTCTGCCCTTAAGCAAATTCCCTATGGTATACAATCCCTGGGCCTAGGGGCCAACAGTGCAGAGTTCCACAGTCTGAGACATGGCTTCTGCTCAAAAGTCCCTATCAAATGTTTCTTTCTGAGAAACTGGATTTTTCAGTCTCATTCTTTGGCCTCTCAGCTTCCTTAGCCTTTAGGGGTAGGTTTGCATAGACCGGCTCACCATGTAACCAGGCTGCACATCACCCTCTGGCTGAGGCTGCCCCTTTGTGGCATCTGGATTTACCCAGAGTGGTAGGGGGTTGCTGGCAGGGCCAGCAGGTTGGGGCCACCACCCAGGGGTTAGTAACACTTTCAAAGCCTGGGCCCATGGGTGCTGAGGCAGGAGCGTCACCGATTAACTTCTGCACGTCACAATGTCTCTTTTCTCATCTTTCCCACCAGACTGGGAACTCTTTGAGGTCAGTAGGGGGCTAGTTGAATAAACTAAGACACAACTATAGGATGAAGTATCAAGCATTGGCTTTAAAAAAAAAATAATGAGGAAGATGTGTTTGTGCAAATTTGGAATGTTCTGCAAACTATATTTAAAAAAAAAAAATAGCCGGGCATGGTGGCGCACGCCCGTAGTCCCAGCTACTCGGGAGGCTGAGGCAAGAGGATCACCTGAGCCCAGGAGTTTGAGGCTGCAGTGAACTGTGATGATGCCACTGCATTCTAGCCCCGGCGACAGACTAAGATTCTGTCTAAAAATAAATAAATAATAAAAAATGTCAAACCAGTGAGTATAGTACACTACAATCTGTTAAAAAAAAAAAAATTCTGTAAACTGGTTCCCTGCCCAGGGTGGGGTAAGGGGACACCGGGAGTGGGAAGAAGACTAACACTTTTATAATAAGGCCTTTTGCACTGTTTGATCCTTTACCATGTGACAACTTTTATTACTTTTTCAATTAATGTTGTGAAGCAATTTGTCGGGCACTCTGCTCTCCATCTCACCTGGTCCTTTGCTCCTGGCCGGGCTGTCCCTCTGCCCAAGCCCCAGCACACCCCCAGGGTTGCTTCTCCCTCTCTGCCCTGCCAATCCAGTTGCCTGCCTGTCACAGCCCAGCTAGGATCCTCCCTGTCCTTGCCTGAGAAGGAACGTGTCCGTCCCTTTCTGGCCACCAGGGAGCAGCCACACCTAGGGGCATGCCTTGGTAGGCTGGGGAGCTCTGATCTGAAGGGCCCAGGCTGCCAGACGGCTTTGAGCTCCAATGCCCCTTCTACCCAAAGCTCCTGGGGCAGAAAGCAGCACAGTCCCACCCAGCGAAGGTGGTGTTGGAATTGTGCCCTATCTCTACGAAGGCTGGGACTCCCCAAGCCGAGTAGGCCCAAGGAACCCTCTCTCACACTGGTTCTAAAATCTCAAGATGAGGGGCATTCCCTGGATGGGAGCACAGACTCCACTGGCAGACGTCTGGGATCCAGGGATTTCACAAGAAGGGGGTCAGGGTAAAGGGCAAGTCCCTTAAAAACAGGAGCAAGGAATCCATCCTGTTCTATACCCCACCCCAGGGCTCTGGGACTTCCCACACTCTCTGAGGCCCAGTCTCCCCGGGTCTAACTTTAGCTGGCTGGGCTGGAAGCAGCCCAAGGCCACTAGATTCTGAGAATTCAGCTTAGCCAAGAACCCACTGGCCCTGCTCTTTCCCCAGCTCTTGTCAGCCAGACGAGGGAGGAATCTCTTCCAAAGAATGCCCTAGGCATCTCCCCTCCTCCCATTTCATTGAGATTATGTATCATAAAATTTACCAATTTAAAGTATAAAAACTCAGTAGTTTTTAGTATATTCATAGAATTGTGCAACCATCACCAGTCTAACTTTACAACATTTTCATCATCCCAAAAATAACCCCGTACCCATAGCAGTCACTCCCCATTGTGACCTCTCCCCAACCCCACCCAGCACCACCCCTGACACCTACCGACCTCCTTCCTGTCTCTATGGATTTGCCTATTGTGGGCATTTCACATAAATGGAATCATACAATAAGAGGTCTTCTGTGGCTGGCTGGCTTCTTTCACTTAGAAACTAAGTTTTTGAGGTCCATTCATGTTGTAGCTTGCTTGTGTCAGTACTTCTTTCCCTTTTATTGTAGGATAATATCCACTGTTACGGATATACTACCTTTTACTTATTTATTAGCTGGTGGACATTTGGGCTTTTTCTATTTTTGGACTATTATTAATAATAGCCATGAACATTTGTGTACAAGCTTTAGTGGGCACATTTTCTTTTTTCTTGGGTAGATACCCAGAAGTGGAATTGCTGGGTCTTATGTCATTCTGCATTTAACATTTTGAAGAACTGCCAGGCTGCTTTCCAAAGCAGCGCTCCATTTCACACTCCCACCAGCAGTGAACTGGGTTCCAATTTCTCCTTGTCAACATTTGTAGTTGTCTTTTTTATTATAGCTTTTTTAGTGGGAGTGATGTGGTATCTCATTGTGGTTTATTTCATTTTTTTTGTTGTTGTTGAGACAGTCTCAGTTGTCACCCTGGTTAGAGTACAAGTGGCATCACTGTAGCTCACTTCAACCTCTAATTCCTGGGCTCAAACAATCCTCCTGCCTCAGCCTCCGGAGTCGCTCGAACTACAGGCACGCACCACCATAACTGGCTAATTTTTAAATTTTTTTTTGTAGAGACAAGGTCTCACTATGTTGCCCAGGCTGGTCTTGAACTCCTGGCCTCAAGCAATCCTCCGGCCTCAGCCTCCCAAAGTGCTGGGATTACAGGCATGAGCTACTGTGCCCAGCCTCACCAGAAGTTAATTTTTGTGTATGGTGTCGGGGAATGGTCCAAATTCATTCCTTTGCATGTTGGTACCTGGTTGTACCAGTACCATTTGTTGAAAAGACAGTTCTTTCCTCGTTGAATCATCTTTGGCCCCGGCCGGGCGCGGTGGCTCACACTTGTAATCCTAGCACTCTGGGAGGCCGAGGATTGTTTGAGCTCAGGAGTTTGAGACCAGCCTGAGCAAGAGTAAGACCCCCGTCTCTACTGAAAAATAGAAAGAAATTAGCTGGACAACTTAAAATATATACAGAAAAAATTAGCCGGGCATGGTGGTGCATGCCTATAGTCCCAGCTACTCAGGAGGCTGAGGCAGGAGGATCGCTTGAGCCCAGGAGTTTGAGGTTGCTTTGAATTAGGCTGACGCCACAGCACTCTAGCCTGGGCAACAGAGTGAGACGCTGTCTCAAAAAAAAGAAAAGAATCATCTTGGGCCCTTTGACAAAAATCAAGTGACCATAAATGTTAGGATTTACTCCTCGACTCTCATTTCTATTCCACTGACTCTAAATATCTATTCTTATTAAGCCTCCCTTTTTTAGTCAACCACAGAGCAGAGGCTAAAGGACCTCACTGACCAGTTTCACTCTAGATCTCTTATCTGAGGTGGGGGTGGGCACCCCAGGACCACCTACTCCAGGGGCAGGTGGCACCATCAGGGAGGAGAGAGGGCTTTGAGGCTAGGTGGGACATGGAACATGGAGTGAACAGGGTGTTCTGGCCCCTCCTCACCCCTCCAGGGACAGCAGTGGTCAGCCTGCTGCTCACATTCCAGGGCAGCCCCTGCCCTGGAGGACCCTAGAGCGAGGAATGTGAGGGCACGGAGGAATGTGAGGGCACCGAGAAGCAATGTGGTGCCTCCCAGGGCAGTGAGGAGGAGAGAAGGCCTCCCCGCTGGCTCTTCGGCCTGCTGACCTCAGCACCTCACATTCTCCAGCTGCCCTCAGGAACCCAGGCTGAGCCTCCACTTACACCAAGGCCAAGGGCTCGGGGCTCAAAATAGCCAGGCCGCTGGGCTCTGGAGAGCACGCTCGGGGACAGGGAGGGTGGCAACGCCCAGGACCGTCTTCCCCAGGCTGACTGCAAGTGGAGGGAGGGCAGGGGAGATGGAGACAGGGCGGTGTCCACAAAGCTGCCTTGGCTCATGGGAGTGGGAAGGCACCTGGGAAACTGAGATACAGTGAAAATTCCACAAACCAACTGCAGCCCAGGCCTCTGACCAGAAGGAAAAGCAGCAGTGCTGGGGGACGAGGCGGCGGGGAGGGGAGCCCAGCCAGGCTCGGGAGAGCTGAGACCAGAGCGACACAGCTGCTGTGGGTGCAGAGACAGGCAGCCTCCCTGGTAGAGTCAAACACTTTATTCAGCACAGGAATGTCTGAACAGAAGGGCCTTGGACAGTGATTCTTGACTAAGAACTCTGCTTCGAGCCCACTGTAAACAGAGCAAAATCAGGGCAAGAGGGGAGGGGGCTCTGCACAGGGTCGGGTCAGGTCACAACAGGCCAGCACACAGCGAAGCCGGGGCAGGGTGGCCCATGCTCAGGGCCAGGCCAGATGGGAGAGTCACGTGGGCAGCTCTGAGCAGCTCACTCAGAAAAGCCAGGGTGGGAGGAGGGCACAGGCCTGGCTGACTCGGGGGATTACCTCTACCACTGAGGCCAGTGGGCATGAATTTGGCTCGGGCGGCCAGGGCTGCTGCACCAACACATGATTAGAGGGCTCTAAGGTCCACAGCCGGGTGCGGGGTGACAGGGCATGTGACCCCTTGGCAGGGCTGTGCAGCCCTTACACCCACAAGCACTGGCAGCCCTGCCGTCTAAATCATCTGTGACACTGACCTTCCCTGTCCAGGCCACCCCTCCCGAGACCAGGGGTCAGTGTGGAAGTGGGGAGGGGGTGTGGGTGGGCAGAGCAAGGCAGGCTGCAGCCTGACACTCAAGACATCATGACTGGGGGTGGGGAAGGTCTCAGGGTCTCACAAGGAAGGAGCATCCATCCGGATGCTCTGCTCCAAGGGTGTGCCCGCGGGCAGCACCCACGAGACGCCTGGGAAGCAGCCAACTCAAGGGAGGGAAGCCCTGTGTGCTGCCGGGCCAGCCAGACCTCCGTTCTGGGGCACTCCCAGCTGTGTGACATCGTGCTGGGTGCAAACGGGGAGAGAGGGGGAGAGGGTGGAAGTGCAGGGTTGGGGGGTGACAGGGAGAAGCCACTCACGATGGCCCAGTTGGATTCAGCTGAATTCCTGATTAACAAGCCCCAAAGGGGGTGGGCAAAGGGCAAAAGTACCATCTTCCTTGACCTACCTCTGCTAACCCAAAGGTGGGACATGTTAAAGAGTGTCCCCTTTCTGAGAGAGAACCTGTAATGCCCAACCCCCCCCACCACCACCAGTGACAGGTACAGGGGACCCAAAGTCTAGATGTGGGTGGCACTGGTGCTCCTTCCATCCACAACGGGCGTGGGGAGCCCAGAGGGCTGTGTGTGAACACACAGATGGGTTCACCACCAGAGGACGCAGAAGGACTGTCTTTGGCTGGCTGGAGGCCAGGAGGGCACAACTGGTGCCCAGTGACTCCGCGTGACAGCCAGAGCCCAGCTGCTCTCCAGGACATCACTACACTACACACACAGCTGGGGGTGGCGGGAGGCCTATGGAGGACCCGTTCTAGCTAAATGACTCACAGATGGGGGTGACACATGCCCTGGTGCCCAGGGATCACACCCAACAGGCAAAGGAGCACAACCAGTCACTGTGGAGGGAGGCAGGGAGGGCGGCCAGGGGTGCACAGTCCTGGCAGGGGCTCACTCCTCAAGCTTCCCTTCCCGAATGTGCTCGAAGGAGAAGGGCAGGAACTTGAAACCGGTCCCACTGTAGAATTTATTCTGGAACTCGACCCTGGAGAAAGGGGAAAGGAAAGCTGTCATTCCACAAAAACTTTCTGATGCTTTTTGGGACTTCACAGTTGGGATGGAAAGATGTCCCTCACCCACCTTGCCCCAAACCTCGCTGTCCCGGGGGACCTGGAGCAGGCGCAGTTCTCCGCCAGCTCCGCACGGGGCAGAGCTCCTACTTTTAAAGCCCGGGACCCACTCTCTGCAAGGGCTCAACATACAGATGGACTGGTCTGTCCTCAGTCCCTGCTCTTGTTTTGTGCTGCCAAGCAGCGTGTTTACTTACACACAACTCTTTGTAAGGAGCCACATGCGAAAAAAAGGTCATGCCTAAATCTAGCAACAATGTCCTTAATGAAGAAGTGTCCCCCATCGCCCCCTCCTGGCAGGGCTCACACAGCCCACCTCTAAGGAAAGCCCCTCAAGGGAACCTGGGCCAACACCACTGTTTGGTAGTTTCTTTCTTTTCCTGGGGGGTGGGTTGGAGAGGGGGTTTGGAGTGAATGCTCAAGGCTTTCCATTTAGCAGAGGAAATTCCCAGGAAAGGGGGGGAGTCAGGAGGGGAAGTCTTCTCAAAGCAATGGCAAAAATATTCTGCAACCACAAAAACATCTGAGAAAGAATTCTTCTCTTGGGGACTAAAAGGAAAAACAGAGCTTGGATTCCCGTCCCAGCAACTGCGCATCCTCCCTGACGGCCTCCTCCGGGGCCCTTTCAGACTCAGAGGGGGCAGAAGACTTTGTCCCCGTGAGCACAGCAAGGCTGTGCTTCCTCTGGCAAACTCGCCCTGGATGGCTGCCCAGCAACCGAATCACCACCAAATATGGGCAGAAAAATGCATGATTCAGAGGATAAAAAAGCCGAGGAGAGCTGACCTGAGGAATAGTTTCCATGTGGTGCTGTGTGACCTTGGGGGCCCCACAACCCCTGGGCAAGAACAGGCAGAGTGGGGGCTGTGACAGGCTCCAGGTGACAGGTCACGTGTGGGGCAAGAGCTTCAAGAAGCTTTAAGGCTTCGAGAACCTTCTAGTTCCTAAGGCAGCCCTCAGCCAGGGCGTTACCCTCCAGGCCAAGGAGGCAGGATTAGAGAACAGGCGGTGGGAGGTGGCCAGGGGCCTGAAGGTTGGGAGGGGAGGACTGTCTGCTGGTGGCACAGAGGCCCTCAGAGGCCCCTTCAGCTCCGGGGTGTGGGCTGAGGACCCTGAGTGGCAGAGCTGCCAGCTCCGCTCCTGGGAGAAGAGCAAAGCAGACGTCCCTGTCCCTGCAGGCGGTGAGAACAGCCTGCTTTCTCCCCGCCCCACACGCTGCAGGGGGTTGGGCCAAGGTCCCCCAGGGAAAACAGGAGCCAGGAGGAGGAGTGCGACAGAGCTTCAAAGGCAAGTTAGTCCAGGGCTCCTGAACGAGCAATTCCAAACCAGGACCTAGATTTGCTTTGCGTCTCAACACCCCCAAAAAGTCTTTTTGCAAGTTCTAGCTACTGAGGCCGCCTCTGGGGGAATGCGGGGCATGGGATGGGAGCAGGTTCCTGCTTCTCGCCTACTTCTGTTAGGTGTGAATTTGTCACGTCAGGACAATACCCTTGTCCACATGGCAAGGGTATTTCAGAATAAATGAAGATAGATTTACGTGCCCCCTTTCCATTCAACAGTATATAGCCAGACAGTGGACAAGTCACTTTAAGGTCCCAGCCCATGACCCAGGAACAAACGTCAGCCTTGGTGGAGTATGTGCGCCCCCACATCATCCCAGTGCTGTATCCAGAACTCTGCCCCTCTGGCTGGCTGATCACACAAATAATTCTCATTTCCAAACTGGCAAATGGAGTAGAAGCTTTGTTTTCAGACACCCGTGGGGCCACTGCCCTTCTTGCAGCACCCTCCGCTCTGCTCACCTATCCACTGGGCCCAGTGGGGAGGAAGAGGAACACATGCCCAGGAGGGGGCACAGCAATTCTGCTGTGTGAGCAGACAGGGGTCCCTCTGCCACAACAAGCGATACTGCTCCTCCCACCAGCTGCTGCTTGAGTTCAGACTTATAGTGGCCACAACTGGGACATCTTGGGTCTATCTTGGGGTCAGCCTGGCTTCGCCTCCCTCCCTGGCTGTGCTCACCCCAAGCTCCTAGCACAAAGCTAGAAAGCAACTTCCCTGCCAGTCTATCCCACTCCCCACCCCCCAGGGAAATAGGCTTCCTGAGAAAGCACAACCCTGAAGGTCTCTGCGCTGGGGTGAGGAGAGACCCAGTGGCCACTCTGCAAATTCTTTATGGGCCACTCCACTGCTCTGCTGGGGGAGCTGGCGGGGTCGTGTCATGCCCCAGGCCACTGAAGTGCGCCTCTAGAATCCAGCAGTTGTGAGGAGAACCTCAGGAAGTCAGATGGGTTTCTCTGTCACCCCTTCCAGCTCCAGCACTTGGCAAAGGCCACTGGCTGACTCAGAGGGACTCACTGGGACCAAAAGAAATCACTCCTGCCACGTAACAGGAACCCTTGTTTCCTCGAATGGCTAAAAGGGGAAGGAGCCCTGGGCCTCTTCCCTTTCCTGTGGGGGTGTGACTGAGGTGTCACGCAGTTTTGGAATGACGGCTCTGGGCTGACCTGCTTCTCTGGCCCTTTCTGCCACTCTTGAGCAATTCAGGGCCTGGGACACACATCTGTCTGATGTCAGGACAACGATGTCAGCCTGGAGGTACATTTCAGGGGTTCTTACTTCTTTTTTTTTTTTTTTTTGAGGTGGGATCTCACTCTGTTGCCCAGGCTAGAGTACAGTGGCAACATCAGATCTCAGTGCAACCTCAAATTCCTGGGCTCAAGCAATCCTCCTGCTTCAGCCTCCTGACTAGCTGGGACTACAGGTGTGTGCCGCCATGTCCTGCTAATTTTTTTTTTTTTTTTAGACAGAGTCTCACTCTTTTGCCCAGGCTAGAGTGCCATGGCATCAGCCTAGCTCACAGCAACCTCAAATTCCTGGGCTCAAGCAATCCTTCTGCCTCAGCCTAGCTGGGACTACACGCATGCACCACCATGCCCAGCTAATTTTTTCTCTATATATTTTTAGTTGTCCAATTAATTTCTTTCTATTTTTAGTAGAGATGGGGGTCTCGAACTCCTGAGCTCAAACAATCCGCCCGCCTCAGCCTCCCAGAGTGCTAGGATTACAGGCGTGAGCCACCACACCCGGCCAATTTTTTTTATTTTTTGTAGAGACTAGGGCTCGTTCTTGCTCAGGCTGGTCTCAACTCCTGGCCCCAAACAATCCTGCCGCCTCGGACTCCTAAAATGCTAGGATTATAGGCGCGAACCACCGTGCCTGGCCCCGATTCTGTTCCTTTAACACACTGACTGCCATGTGAGTTATATTTGATTCAGGCTAGTTTTGAGCCCGGGGCTGCGTGAAGCAAAACCCTGCAGATTGGTTCATGAAAATCTTACTTGTTCATGTTCTTATTGTTAAACTTAATATTAACAACTGAATTCTAAATATGTGGATTGCGTTCCATATAATTCATGCACAGAAAACAATAAAAAATAACAAATTAGAAAGGATCCTTTTGTTTAATAAAACGCCGTGGACCCAGGGGAAAAAAATCTTTTTTTCTAGTGTGGCAGTCACTGTGAACACAATTCAATCTGTGAGTGTACAAGTGTGCACATCTACACGTTTGTGGACTTACTAGATAAGGAGGGACCAGGTTCTTTGCAAGGCAGGCCTGCGCTGGCAACAGTCTTTCTGACTAAGAATCAGTTTGATGTCTACAGTTATAACTACAATCACATCCTTGCCTTCTGCCTTCGCTGAAGAAGAAAAGATGTCTAATTATGGTAGGCAAGAAAGCCAAGTACACTTTATGTGGTAGGATTGAGGACATAACTCAGGAGACAGAATAGCAGATTAGTACATTAACCTGCTCACTATGTTTTCAAATACGTCACCCACTTTCTAATGACCCTGCATGCATCTCAGACTAGTGGTTTATACTTTACCAAATCAAATGTTTTTCTTCTTGTCCCCGATAAAGAGACCCAGAACTTGTATAACGGGGAGGCCCTTGCATCAGGAAACACCATGGATAAAGTGAGAGGCATGAAGATGCCTAGGCCACGTGCCAGGAAAAATAGCAGCAATATCCCTGTGGCCATGTGCGGATGGACCAGCTGTTCCCAGGCCTCATAAAATGGCCACGACTCAGAACTGTAGTCCTGGCTGGTAGGGAAGAACTGTGCATCCGTGACACACACCCACATTCGGCCAGGAGGGGGCGCACAAGCACCAATTTCATTCACTCCTGTTTTAGTGGTGGGGGAGACGCCCCAAACATGCCACAGGGACCACCCCTCCAACGATGGGACTCTGGAAGTTGCATGAGCGTTCCCTCTCCTACCCAAACTTCTACTACCAAAATACATTTTAGCAAGTACGACGTGTGGCGAGCCTGTTCCTTGCAAACTACCCCTCTGAGGGGCATTCAGATGCTATCATGTATCTCCTTTTGGGGGTCTCCCCTCTCTCTAAGCAGGCTAAAAGCAGTTTATTTAAGGGGGACCCCAGCGAGATGCCCACTCTACAGGGCAGCCCTTATAAGCAGAGCAGACACGACCACTCGAACACCTGTTGACGACGTGCTGGGCTGTGTGGCAGCACTTGGGGCGTGCACCGGTTCCCATTTACTCACAGTAACTCACACGGATATGGTCCCCTCTCCCTAGGCGAGAAAGGGAGGCTCAGAGAGGTGAGTGCTCTGCTTGGGGTCACCTGCCCGGCGTGGCAGAGCTGGGACTGACACCCAGGTTACCCGATTCAGAAGCCTGCTCTCCTGTCACTCCTCACCTCCGCTGGCCCATTCAGGAGGACATGGGAGTACACGTCACTGGAAGGCCACAGGTGAGCCTGAGGAGGAAGCGGGCATCTGGCAACCGAACATGACATGGGAACTTGCCTCAGCTCACTGTGGAGATGAGGCCCCAGCCCGGGGACCTTCCTCTGCTCCAGTGCCTTGGCCACTCCCCACCCAGCCCAGGGAGGAGGCAACTGGCTACCCACATGGGCTGGAATCAAGGTGGGCTGGTCGCTGTTCCCTCAAGGCCAGGGCTCAAGTGACAGAGAAGTGAACAGAAAAGGAAGGCGGCTAAGAGGGCAAGAAAAAGTGAGTCACCACAGACTGGTTACTCAGACATTCCCTGGCCCCGAGCGAGGGCCGAGGAAGTGTGCTGGGGAGGGCAGGCTGATAAGCTGAGAACGGGCTTGGGTTGAGGCCAGCAGTCTGGAGCGCGCAGCACCCTAACCCGCTGGCTCTGCCGTAAACACTCAAGCTGGCAGGCAGGAGGGCAGCCAGGAGGGAGGCGGCCAGGCCAGGGAAAGCGACGTCTACTGACGCAGCAGGGTGAATCCCACAGGAGCTTTTGAGGGAAGAGTACGTCCCAGCCACGTCTCGCCCTTCCATGCCTCGCTTCTCACCCCCATAATTAAGGATAACCAACAGTGGAATCTTCAAGGAGGCCCAGGTGTAACCCAGCCAGGAGAAAAATCAAAGGTAAAGAGAGGGGAAGAGGTCGCTCAGGTTCAGATGCTGGATTTTCCTCAGGTTTAAAGCCCTCTTCTGGCCTTGAGATCGTTAGCACCACAGAGCTGCTCATCCAGGGGTTGCTAAGGTAGGCCCGTGAGTTTATGGCCCCGACGCTTGGGAAACGCTGGGTGACAGTGCTCCTCTGGGGACAGGGTCCAGAGCTTCCGGAGACACTGGAGTTTGAGATCCCCAGAGAGGGGGAGAATTGCAATATAAAGGAGGAAATGGAGATCCAATGAGGTGGGGTTTGAGGCAGAACAGCCAGACCAAATGCAGGCTGCCCAGCTGTTAGCATAAGTATGTCCCATGCACATTTAGGAAATACTCATACTGAAAAAATTATTCATTGTTTATCTGAAATTCTCAGTGTCCTATGTTTTTATTTGCTAAATCTGGCAACCCTAGTTCGAGGTCACGGTCATAGCCCAGACCCAAACCCAACTCTCCCACTCCCTGAGACTGAGCTCTCTCTGTCCACGCAGAGCCGCTAAGAGTCCTACGCTACAGTAAAGAAAACAAACAAAACCCCCAAACCTGCCCTTCTGAAGAAGCCGCCTTTGGTGTACCAAGCCCCATGCCATGGAACTAGGAATCCCTTCGCCCCTCAATGGAGCTGCGGGGGTCTTACCCAAAGACCCCTGGTGTAATGACAGAACGAAGGGGACAAGGCTGGGATGCAGTGTGCTCTAGCTCTCCCTTGGACTTAAAAGTCTATTCCAGGACTGCTTTCATTGTTCTGAACACAGGGGAGTTACTTGCCAACGCAAAGAACAAAAACAAAAACCCTCCAACAAACAAAACCCACAAGACCTCAGCAGCTCTTTTAAGCCATAATCGAGAACTCCAGAGACTGCTGAAGGCAGGACCACTCACCAGGGACTGCTCCCTGGAACCTAGGAAATGGTGAGCTGTGCTCTTCTGTGGCCAGTTTCTGTTGCTCACTACCAAGGCTGGGGCTCGGGCGTCCTGAGGCGAAGCTAGTGCAGGGCCCTCTCACTGTAGCTAAGGACACGTCCCCTGCCAGACGCCCACCACGTTCCCCAGCCCCACTGCCCCTCACCAGTGTAACCGCAGCGCGTGGAGGAAGGCTGAGAGGCCCTCCATGATCAGGAGGATGGCCACAGTCAGGGTGGCAAAGGCGGCGAAGATGAAGAAAAGTGCCAGACCTCCTGCCAAGCTCTTCACACTCAGGCCGATGTGGATCACCATGGTCCAAAGCACCTCAGACAGCTCTGGGGAACGGGGAGACAACATCCGGTTTAGTTTGGCAAGAGGTGGCTGTGGGCCATGTATTTTGCTCTGCCATTCCTCACCTACAGGGCTCCTTGCACCCCGGCTTCCTGTGGCCTTAGTGGGAACGCCGTGCAGAGCTAACTTGGCACAAGCGCTAAGCCTCCTGTCTGTACTCATTCTCCCTGGATTCAGGAGGCTCGATAATTCCAGAACTTTTACGTAATTTCCACTCTACTTAAGCCCCCCCACCTGAGGGTGTGCCCACAGAAGGGGAGAACCATAGCTCTGGAGGGAGCGAAACACACTCACGTGCATGAGCAAGGCTGAGGGCCCAGAGCCGCAGGTAGGAGGCGGTGTTGGAGATGCAGCCCAGGCAGTACTCGATGGTGTGGATGGCCTGGTGGACCATGGTGTCCCCAAAGTCAAACTGTTGTGGGAGGAAACCAGAGAAGAGATAAGGCTAGGAGGGGAAGGTGCAGGAGTTCTGAGATGTGGTCACTTGGCACTTGGAGCCTGGGCCAGGGCAGGGGCTGCACTCCTCACGGCTGCTGCCTCATCTTTAGGGGCACCGGGAGCACCCAGTGTTGGGCTCAGGCAGTGATTCTGGCGATGCCTTCCCCAGAAATCCTGCCTGGCTTAGCCCCTAACTGGGACACCCCATGCTCCCCAATGCACTACATCTTAATAAACTACACTTCAGTGAGATTCTTCTAGACACACTTGTTTCTCCCTGCTGTGCTCGGAGCTCCACAGGGAGTGTGCACTAAGCTGGGGGCACTAGCTGAGGGAGCGACTGTCTGGATCCAGGACCCGCCAGTGCGCCAGCTGAGCCGATTCCCACCATCTGGGCCTGTGACAAAAGCATCCCGGCTCAGGAACAGCACCTGTGGGCAGGAAGGACTGTCCCCAGACTGTGCTTAGGAGACAGGCTCTCAGGCCAGAAACTGCCTGGAGAAGACCAAACCTCTGCAGCCACTTTACTCATTCTTTTTACAGGCTTTGGGGAGCAAGATAACCTCCTTGTTCTTCTGTTACTTCTGAAAAGATTACACAGGGAAATTTCGACAAAAGTTTACAAATTTCCCCATGGACAGTTGATTAAGGCCAAACGGCTCTCCTGCTTTCTGTTTGTTTCTGCTTTCCTCAAGCTCCCTCTCTCCCAGTTTTCCTTTCAACACCAAGAATGATCTCCAGATTAAAGGAGTGGGCCAGGAGGCTTTTAGGGCTGTTCCAAGCACAGCCAGGGGTGAATGCAAACCTCAGAATTCTTTACATTCTAGAAGCCCCAGGGGCTTTCCCCAGACAGCTCCGTGGTCCTCCTGGGGAGGTGCTCAGAGGGGCCCCCTGGCTGGGACTCCTCCCCACAGAGCCCAGACCAGAAGCCCTGGGCTGCCAGACACTCAGCACTCAGCAGGCCTCCCCCTTCTCCGCCCTCAGGCTAGGGTCTATTTTTACCATAGTTTCTTTCAAAACTCACATGGTCCCACTCCCAAAGGACACCAGAAATGCCTTGGGAAATTGCAGAGGCCAGGAGGAGAGACAGGCTGGGCTGGTAAAGCCATTACGGCTCAGGCCAGAAGGGTAAGGCTGCCGAATATACCATCCCTGGGCAAATGCCTCGTTTTCCCTCACCTCTATCTACAACCAGCATATTTCTGGGCTTTTCTCCTGGAACAGGCTCTTCATGCCTCCTACTTACCCTTAAAACCAGGGTAACCCTAGTTACCCTGAGCTCCCTCAGTCCCAACAATGAGTTAAGAGCTCTTTCTCCCACCGCTGCTGCTGCGCCCAACAGCGCACACTGAAAGAACAAGTCCATGGCCCCAAGGAGCACGGGTCTCCACTCCCGAGCACTCTGTGAAGGCAGCGGCCAGGGGCACTCCCTTTGAACCAGCCCCTTTTAGCATTTCTATTCCACCTCCAGTTTCTTCCATTAAAAAAAGTTGAGGGCCAGCGCGGTGGCTCACGCCTGTAATTCTAGCTCTCTGGGAGGCTGAGGCGGGCGGATTGTTTGAGCTCAGGAGTTCAAAACCAGCCTGAGCAAGAGCGAGACCCCATCTACAACTAAAAATATATAGAAAAAATTAGCTGGGCATGGTGGCACATGCCTGTAGTCCCAGCTACTCGGGAGGCTGAGGCAGGAGGATCGCTTGAGCCCAGGAGTTTGAGGTTGCTGTGAGCTAGGCTAACGCCACGGCACTCTAACCTGGGCAACACAGTGAGACTCTGTCTCAAAAAAAAAAAAAAAAAAAAAAAGGAGAGGAGGAGGGGAAGCACCCCGTCCAGGCTGCCCTCGCCTCCTTCCCTTCATTCCCAGCTTCCTGCAAGTTCTCAGGTGAGGGGAGAAATGGGTGAGAGATCTAGCCCAGCGCTTCGCAGGAGTCTGTCGCTCGGTACGCACCCAGCATAAGTTGGCTATGACTTCTGAACTGCTGCAGACTCCCTGGCCACACTCTACCTCAGTTTCCTCCCTGCCCAGCCATTCCTCACCGTACTACACCTGGCTTCCACCCTGGCTGCCCACAAAACGGCTCTCCCTAGCAAGGTCCCCCTGACTGCCCGGTTGTTGAATGTAACAGATGTTCATGTCCTTGACTGTACCTCTGCAGTGCCTGTCACTATTGCCTCTTCCTCCTCCTTAAGACACCTGCCTCCCCATGGTTCCACCTACCTCTCAGGACAGACCCTCTTAGTCTCCATCATGGTTCTTCCTCAAATGACGATGTTCCCTGGAGTTCTAGCCCCAGCCCTTGCGTCTTTCTTGTGGGATTGCCACTCAGGGTTTCAAAGGCCATCCATGGAGTGACTCCCAAATGGACCTCTCCATCTCCACGCTGCCTCTTTCCCGCCATCTGGGTGCCCTCTCCTCCTGGAGCACTCAGACGCTCCCAACACAACGCAGTAACTGCTCCCTTCTGTTCCCATGGAGACCTACTTCTATTCCACGTCCAACAGAGTGGCACTACTCATGCCCTGGGGCACCCAAGCCTGGGAGTCAGTCTGGAATCTTCACTCTTACCTCCTACTTCAGTAAGACACTGCGACCTGCAGCTCTCACTGCCTTAATGTCTCATCCTGGTCCCTTCCTTTCCAACTCCTCCTGCAAATGCCTCATTTCACTTCAAGCTGCCCCATTCTGTCCTAAATCACATCAGACTAGGCAGAGTCCACACTTCCAGACTGTGCCTCTCCCCGACCCAATACACCCCACCACACTGCCACTAGGGATATCTCAGCAACACGCACAGGGCTATGTCACCACCAGCTTCACTGCCCTCTGGTAGCTCCTTGTTGCCCAACTGAGGCAATGGCTACTAAGGCTGGTCTCTGCCAACCTCTAGTCTCACCTCTCTCCAGTCCCCCAGCTCCTGTCTGTGCCCAGCCACGCTAAACACCTGCTTGTCCCCAGCATGTGATGGGCCTGCGGGCGTCGTGGTAGGGTTGCACCCCCATCCCCCCACAGGGCCTTCTGCTTGACCAGACTAAGCTCGGGAATAACTTCCTTGGGGATTCTTCCCTGGTCTCTTCTCCCCGCCACAGCCCGGCGTTTGTCAGCTCTGCCCTCCCTTTGTGCTCCCGCAGCATACTGGGCACACTCCCATCACCACGCCTGCCACCCAGGCTGCTGCCCACTTAGTGTGCGAGATCCTTGAAGGCAAGAGCTATGTTTTTCCTCTCGGATTCTGCGGCACTAAACGCAGTGCTCGGCACGTGGCAGGTGAGGAGCGTGTGGATGGTGGGGTGAATGCACCTGGGGAGGATGAGTGGTTCCAGCCTTCAACGATTTCCCAGACAACCAACTGGCCTGAGTGCCCCCGGAGACAGGAAATAAAGCTTCCACTGGGCTGGAGCAATGGCCTGCATGGGACAAACAAGTCTTCCCAGCTAAGTAAAAAGTTCTAAAAGAAGTAGGCTGAACTTTTTTTAAAGAACCTGTTTGGTTTGAAATCACTGAATCATAATTGTCACAGTTACCTAAATTTGGCCGTAGAAAACCAGACTGTGTAAGTGCCTGATAAAGGTAAAATGCTGTGACTACTGAGGAAGCCAAGGGAAGCTCAATCCCTGAGTAAGCTGGGCGGCCAGAGACTGGGGAGGATGAATTGGGGTCCATCTTGTTTGGATGTCCAAGCTCCTGGGACACGGCTATAAATGAGGACGTTGGGACGAAATGGCTGGTCGGACTGTTCTGACAATGGCCACGGCATTGGGTGCTCGATTCGGAAGACATTTAGGAAGCAATACGGTTGGAGGTGATCCGGGGAGAGGGCTGGGCTCGTCACCAACATGGAACACGCCCCCTCCCAGCCCCGCCAGACAGCTCAGCCAGGGACTGTGCACAGACGAGTGGTCCAGGAACACAGACACTCCTCGATGCCGGCCAAGGAGCCTCTCCAGACTTCAGGCACTGCCTGTTTTTACACAGAACAGCAAAGGTTTGCCCATTCCCATCCCACTGCCCCCTTAGAGAGGACAGGGAGAGTCAGGAAAGGGCAGGGTATAGCTCATGGGTTTAGGTATCTTAGAGAGTTTTGGGGGAAGATGCAAACAGTGCAGCAAGGCCTTTTAAAAACCCAATTCAAAACATGTGTGCTGCTAAATGAATTACTGCCAAGCTAGAAGGCCTTCTACTCTAGTTTAGCCTGAATATTTAGCCAATTTTCTTTCCATTCTGTTATTCTCTTTGTGGCTAATGTAATATTAACTTCTCTGACGCAGATGGATTATTGTTTTCTGGGATGCATCTGAGAGGCGGAGCTTCCACCTCCCACCTGGGTCGGATGGAGGCAGAGCCGACCCCAAGCAAGGGTCCACCGATTCTAACTGGAGGCACCAACAAGCTGCTAAGGGCAGCAGGAAGAGGCTGGCTGCATGTCAGACAGGGAGGAAGGGTAAGCTTTGCTCCTGAGCACTCAGAGGAGCAGGGCGGAAACAGCTACCCCCAGAGGCTGGGAGTGGAGCAACCACAACATCGCAGGAGAGGAAGGCAGAGGCCAATGGGATTTAACCCCCAAGGGGGGTCACTTCAAGAATGCCAATGCAGACATTACTTGCAGGTCCTTTCAAAGCCATTCTCTGAGGTATTAGATCAGCAGAGTCAATGAAACAAAGACAGAGGTGACCGACATGAGATGCAGTTAATGGAGAGGAGCTTTGTCAGAACACAGGCTCACGAACTGGTTAGAAATGGCCAGTGAAATGCACGATGCAGGGGTGGCATGTGTGTGGCCCCGGGGTGCGGCAGGGTCAGCAGAGTAATCACAAGGATGGGAAGAGAGAAGCCCAGATAAACATGAAGGCAAAGCCAGCTTTCGTCTTACCACCGCGTCCTCGGAAGGCTTGAAAACACAAATTTACACTTAGTGGAAAGCCACGCCACACGCAAGGTCACAAATTACGAGCATGAGGCTACTGAATGCTTCCTGGGGAGGACTGTTAATGTCACATAGGGCTAACGTGTTGGAGGCAGGCCTCCTCAGCACACACTCAAAGCAAAATCAGTAGGAATTTAGAGCATTAAGATACATATTTTTAAAAGGCACCCCAACCCTCAAGATTTCTTTTTTGAAAAACCATATACATAGTGAATAGTGGTCAGACAGGCCGAAAAGTCCAACTTGGGTCCTCAACTCCTATTCTATTTGCTTTAAAGAGAACAACACGAATAGATGAGATTCAATAGTTCCATTCGGAGGCTTTGTGCTATAAGCAGTTAGGCAAGGAGAGTGGATTTTAAAAAACTGCGCTAGGAGGTGGTGTCTTAAAGAAAAGTCTAGCCTGGCCTGACTGCTTTTCATTCTCCCTGTAAAAAGTAGGCAGATAACATAAAAAAGGTTCAAACAAAATATCTGCAACAAGAACACATCAATGGGAACAGGACTTTAAAAGTACCAGTGATTACAGCTGGTCAGTAATGTAGCTGGAATAATTCTTGGAAGGACCAAGGGATGAAGAAGCTACCCTAAGTGATCTGTGTTTCAGACTGTAAGAGCTGGGATGGGGGGGCATCTCTGCCTGGGGCCGAGGAGCAGTCATACACAAGATCGGCGTGCAGAGTACTGCAGGCAACTCAGAATCCACCAACAGAGCACCACTGCTGCAGGCTCTGTGGGCAACGCCCGGGGTCTGGAGCAGGGGCCCTCTACAAAAAGCTGTGGTGCCCTAAGAAGTCCAGAAGGCAGGCTGAGTAGTAATTAGTATTTTTACTTTTTAAGGAGCAGACTGAGCGAGGCCTCTCGGGTCCGCAAGGCTAGGGCCGACCCAAGGTGGAAGGAGAGGAAGCCCCACCGCTGGATCTTACCTCTTCCGCGTCCTCTGAGTGGGTGGAGAGCTGGTCATGCTGAATAATCTCAGCATCCTCCTCTGTCGGTCCGTTGCCCACCCTGATCCCACCAAAGTTGAGAGTTCCCTACACAGATGAACAGAAAGAGTAGAATTTGCCTGGGCTTTAATGTGGCATTCTGTGAGGTGGGAAGGGTGACGGTTAGTACATACAAACCTCAGAAAAGCACACGTTCCAACAGCAAAAACAAAACCCACTGATCAAGCAGCTAAGTAAAAGCAACTGTTCCCAGCCCAACCGCCACCTCCCCTGCCCCAGCCTACAATGACCACCTCACCCTGCTTCAGAGGAAATGCACAGCTCTGTGTGCTGCACCGAGAGGCAGCGACCTCACCTTGGTCAATGCCAATCGAGAATGCTGCTTGAATGAAAACCCTCATATGCACGGACTCTCATAACAAGTGCTAACTATCCGCACAGCCTGCAAAGATCTAAGCTTTTCTGGAACTAAAGACTAGACTTTCTAAGGAGGAGGGGACCCAAATGACACTGTGATTGTACCCTGGCCTGATAAGCTTTTGACAGGAGCCCAGGAATTCCAGCAACCTCTCCCAGAAATGTACTGGGTGTCTGCCCAGGAACAAAGGACTTCCTAGATCAGGAAAGGAAAAAAAAAGCTTAATGTACATTCACTTGTGGCTAGAGAAGTCTGAGTTTTAAAAAAAGGGAGGGGGCTGCTGTCCTTCAGTGAAGGATTCTGGAGTGTTCAAACAATTCTTCTGCAGGCCCGTGGGCAGATACCGACTGGGCATTTGCTTCTTCTGACTTCACAGGTACAGTCTTCAGCAGGGTCCCCATAAACAGAATTTTGAAGTCAACTTGATTTGAAAAAACTTCAGGTTACTGGGGCAAAAGAACAAAAACCAGGCAGAACTAGGTTAAGTCTGATAGATGCCAATTAGTGCTAACCTGCCACAGCGTGAAAAGGAACTTAAGAAACAGGCCCTAGAACCACTTCACGTGGTTTCTGTCCAGGGAGCCAAATAAGGCAAGAGTTCTAGGACGGCTCTCCTGCCAACGGCCTTCAGGGCAGCAGCACAAACAGTGTGCAAGCAGGTCTGGTCAACTGCCCCGTGGTCCCCGTCCTCAGCTTCAGCTTTTGGTGTGTTCCTTTCACCACAGCTCTTGCCTCAGTTACTGACCAGCTCAGACCTCGGCATTTGCATAAATCCGGCCTCCTCCTCTAGCAGTGGTTCTCACGTGCTGGTCAGGGAACCAGCCGCATTAGATCACCTTAAAAGTTGCATTTTAAATAGAGATTCTCAAATACTACTCCCAGAAATTGTAAATTTAGTAGGTCTGGGGTGGGGCCCAGGAAATTTGTATTTAAAAAATATTTTCCCGGCCAGGGGCGGTGGCTCACGCCTATAGTCCCAGCTACTTGGGAGGCTGAGGCAGGAGGATTGCTTGAGCCCAGGAGTTTGAGGTTGCTGTGAGCTAGGCTGATGCCACAGCACTCTAGCCCAGGCAACAGAGTGAGACTTTGTCTCAAAAAAAAAAAAAAAAAAAAATTCCCAAGTACAAATTGCACAGTCATTGTGAAGGATCTATCAAAATTTAAAATGCATGTACCCTTTCAGATTCAGCAATCTGAATGCTGGGACATCAAGATATATGGACAAGGATGTTCCCTGCATTGCTGTTTGTAACTGCAAAGAACTGAGAACCAACACATCCATCAAGGAGAGAGTGATACATAATTTTGGCATATCCAATGGCATATGCTATGGAATGCTAAGCTACCATAAAAAAAGAGTGATTATTATTACGAAACAATCTCCCAAGATATACTAAATTTTAAATCTCCCAGCTGGACACTAGCAAGTATCCCTTCAGAACACAGGGAATGAGAGTTACAGGAAGGGAGATGAGAGACACACATCAGTAGAAGAAAGAAAAGAAAAATTAAACTGTGAAATACTGCTTACAGATGAGCAAAAGGACAAAGAACAGAACAAAAACAGATCAATGTTCACATCCTCAGCCCTCTCGGGTCAAGAATCCAGGACCCTTTTTATAGAATGACCATCCTGATGCCTTCAGGCTGCTCTCCAGAAACAGATGTTTGGCTAAAGAACCAAGTGGGTAAGAAGACTCTGTGAATGTGCAGGTTTCTAGACTGGGGACTTTTAACTTGGAATTTATCACAGAAGAGGCTGCTAGATTGAAAAGCATCAAGAGCTCCTCAGAAGCACACTATATATATATGTATGCACTTAGACTAACAGAAAGAAGAGTTGATGTGGAAAGACCATCAATAATGGGTAGTATATGTTCTAAGAGTTTTTAAAATTTCTCATAGGGAAGACCCTAATTCAAAATAATTTTAAGCAGTAAGATTAAAATTCCTTCTGACTCAAAATATTAGCCTTTTTGGACTAGTTCTAGAAGGATGATTATAAGCAATTTTCTAAGTTTAAAATCATCAGAAACACCTAATGAAGGAAATGGTTATATACCTAAGTCTTTCATTTTCTTTAAAGGAGCATATGCTATGAGAACATAGTACATGAGTAATCACTATTGGTGAGATTTTAAAAATCTTATAGATTCATAACTTAGAATATACCACACTAATATGATATTAGTGCAGTATAGGATTTTGATTAAAAGATGTTTTTAAGGACAAATATTCACATGCTTAACATTCAAGTGTTGCTACTGAATCACGAGTTAGTGTCAGAAAAGGGAAGGATCAAGACAGAAGATGACCTTGGTTATTACACCAGATGTACAGCACACACAGGACACATGGGAGAGTGGAGGTCTCACAGGAACAGCTGAGGACAGAAGGGCTCCTGAGTCTCTCATAAAAAAGTAAACATGTATAGACTTTCACCTTAAAGAGGGTAAGTCACTGCTAAAAAGGACCAATTGTCCAAGCATCACTATAAAAACAGAACTCTAAAGTGCAGGGAAATGAATTCAAGAATCACAGAGATATTCTCGCCTCCATGCTGAAAAAATCATCCAATACATGGTCACAAAATACAGACATGAAAGGATATGAGTCCAAGAGCTGCCATCCTCGATTAAGATGATAGGACTCGGCGAGGGTACAGTAGCCACTTTGTTCCCATGGACATGACTGTACTTACATATGTGAACAGAAACTTAGGAGACCAATGGTAAAGATGATACCAGAATCTATTCTCAAGAGGTGGAAATCTTTTTCTGTCATCATCTCAATAAGTAACAAGGACAAACTTCCCAAGAGCACACATGTCCCATGCTCTTAATATAGTTAAAAACAATTCTGCTGTACTGTTTGCCACCTCTTTAAACAAAATGTGATGGTTTGTTGGTTTTAATTCACTCACTGTTGCAGCCGCTGCTGCCTCTACTCCCTGTTGGCTCGGGGTTGGGCTGACTGGGGCCTCCACGGGTTGCCCTTCCTGATAGTAAATGTAAGAAAAGAGGAAGGGAGAAGAAAACAAAAGAGGGAGGGAGTGAAGGGGGAGACGAATGGAGGGTACATGGAAGGATGAAGATGGTCAGAAAAGGGAGAAGGAGGGTCTCGTAACTCAGCTGCTCTCCAACAGTAGTAATAATCTAACAGCCGTATGAGAGTCATGCAACACGATCCTTTGGGTTTTCTCAGGCAGTGTTATTGGATAGCTAGAAATTATGTACAGTACTGGACATTTGGCAAATTTAAATTTGTGTCTGTAGAATTCATATGCACACATACAGTACGTAAACACATGCATGTATGCCTGCTTTTTAAAAAGAAAAAAAAAAATCCATGTGCTTTAAACCAAACCTTTTTCCTGGATGTTTTGGTCAGTGAAAGTATCACGGTCTCACATTTTAAAAGGCAATGTCTCAGCGTCAGTGCTGTGGTCGCCCAGGCAAACCACACTAGTGGGTTCACCGCCTGCAGCTCTTGTGGCCTCGCTTTGGCTGATGCTGCATCTCGACAGGCCCAGGCCTGGATCCTGCTGAGCACAGCGTGAGCAAAGCGGGACCAGGAAAGGTAAAACCTTGTGACTTGCTCTCTCTACCCCAGCTACTCAAAGCTGACTCCAGATGTCTGAGCAGCAAATACATGTTTCCCTGGCTTCGGCAGGCTCAGTGCTCATGCTGAGATATAACACAAATGCTTTTTAAAAGCATGTAGATTTGTGGACAATGAGTTACATTCACTGGGAAATTGCCTTAATCTCAAGGAAAAAAAAAAAAGTCTAGTAACTTTCAGCAATAGAAATACACCCACCAAATGCTTCCTCCTCAAGTACTGATGGCGAAGGACCAGTGATTTAAATAGCAGCATCCAAGGTACACACAGTAGCGCAACCACTACCAGGAAACACTGAATTCCTTTCTGCAAAGGAGGAGGACAAGGCACATCACATAGAAGTCCATTAATCAAATACGCAATACAGACCAACTCCAGTACAAATTTCCCCCCCAAACCGTACTTTCTTACTGATAGATGAGTAACACTATTCAGTTCCTCAAAATAATTAGCAGATGTTGCAGCAAAGCCCAAGAATTGTCCTATAGGATGGCAGTTATAAATTCTACCCTTTCTGGATACAGAAATTACAGTGGATTCTTCCAAGCTAAAGAAGATGGTCTGAATTTAGATCTGCATATATGGGCTAAAATCCACATACTACAGAAAGGTTTTCTTACACTTTGTTAGAGTCAGAAAAACATCTGGCTTCCCCACCTAGGGTAACCACCCCAGGCAGCCCACCTCTGGGTTGACATACCTGTCCAGAATACAGCATTGACTTATCAGACTCTGGGTAGGAGAAGAGGAACATGTTTATGAAGTGGATCAGAAGGCTTGGTGCATTCTCAGATGTATGAGCATCGTAGGCTGTCCACTTGTAAAAAATAAGGATAACTAAGTAGCCAAACAAAGAGGTCATGAAGATTACTTCAGGAATAAATCCAAAGTATATATTCAGGGGCTTCTTGAAATAGCTACAAAGGAGAGAGAAAAAAAATGTTAAGGGTGGGGCGGGCATGGTGGCTCACGCCTATAATCCTAGCACTCTGGGAGGCCGAGGCAGGAGGATCGTTTGAGCTCAGGAGTTCAAGACCAGCCTGAGCAAGAGCGAGACCCCGTCTCTACTAAAAAAAAATAGAAAGAAATTAACTGGACAACTAAAAATATATAGAAAAAATTAGCCGGGCATGGTGGCGCATGCCTGTAGTCCCAGCTACTCGGGAGGCTGAGGCAGGAGGATCGCTTGAGCCCAGGAGTTTGAGGTTGCTGCGAGCTAGGCTAACGCCACGGCACTCACTCTAGCCAGGGCAACAGCGTAAGACTCTGTCTCGGAAAAAAAAAAAAAAAAATGTTAAGGGTGAACAGACCCAGGCCACTCCTACACTGAGTGGAGACTGTTCTACCTAACACTCCTTCAACTCTGTCTTTATCACTTTAAGAAGCAGCAGCCAGAAGCTGGGGGCAACAGAGACAATGCAGGACCACCTATCACTTTCAAAGTCCTAGACCTTGAATGGCTCCAGTGCCATCCCTACCATTCTCTCCAGGAGAAAGAGACTGGAAAAATGTAGTATATTCTGAGGCCGCAGTCCATAATTTTATGTGAGCTACACATCAAGGAAGAAAAAGGACTGACTCATTTTGATGAAAGGTGCTCAAGTTTTGTTCAAAGATCTTTACTACAACTGTAAATTGTTAAGGGACTAATATTAAGCCTCATTTGAGATTATGAGATTTTTAATAAAAGCATTTCTATAATGTACAATGGGGTTCTGAGTTATCCATCCTTCCCCAAAGATGTCATGATTTCTTCAGGAAAAAATATCCGAACTATGCACCATTCTTATGACACAAACAGAAAAACTCACATATGGTTGAAAAGGCTCAAGCTGACTCCAAACAACATATGGATGATGCCGAGGATAACAGACATCTTCATCTTAAAGGAGTTGAGGAAGGTCAGTTTATTGGTAGCAATGTTCCAAATCTGTCACAACCCAAGAAAACAAAAAGGTATTACAAAGAATTTTCAAATGGAAAAAAATATTATTCATCTGTTTAAAAAACAGGTTTTTTTTATTATGGAAAATTCTAAACATTTACTTAAGTAGAGAGAATGGTATAACAAACTCCTACGTACCTATCACACAGCTTTAACACCACTATCAATTTGTGGACTCGTGCTAATTTCGTTTCATCATATTTCCACCCATTCCCCACCTCCATATTATTTTGGAGCCAAGTCCAGATATCACATCATTTTACCTGTAAATATTTCAGTATGGATCTCTAAAAGGTACGGACCCATTTTTAAAACGTGACCACAATACTGTCATTATACCCAAAAGCACTAACAGTGATTCTTTAATATCATAAAATACATAGTCAGCAAATTTCTCTGATTGCTTCCAATCCTTTTCTTTTTTTTTTTGAGACAGAGTCTCACTCTGTCACCCTGGGTAGAGTGCAGTGGCATCATCATAGCTCACTGCAGCCTCAAACACCTGGCCTCAAGCAATGTTCCTGCCTCGGCCTCCAAAGTAGCTGGGACTGCAGGTGTGTGCCACAACGCCTGGCTAATTTTTCTATTTTTACTAGAGACAGAGGCTCTTGCTCAGGCTGGTCTCGCCTTCATATCAAGAACTCATCCTCAGTGACCTCTAACATGAAAACTTGTGACTGGCTCTTTCTCCGGCCCTAGTTCGCCTGAAATTCAGTTCTGAAACTCCAACCGCCTGATGGGCATTTGTACCTGGGTGTCCCACAGGTGCTTCAAAGTCAACATCTACCCTGTAAGCCTCAAATAAGAGACCTTCAAAAAAACTTCACAACCATAGAACACTAAATATAAGGTAATATTGTTATTAGACTTCAAACTACTTAAGGGAAGGAGCTACATCTTAAAATTATGTTTCACCCAGCAGGTACTATGTCTTAGAGAAAATAGGGATTCAATAAATTTTTTTTTTTTTTTTTTTTGAGGCAGGGTCTCTCTATGCTGTCCAGGCTGGTCTTGAACTCCTGGGCTCAAGTGATCCTCCCACCTCAATCTCCTGAGTAGCTGGGACTATGGGTGTGTGCCACTTCACCCCCAGGATTCAATAAACATTTGTTAAATGAATACATAAAACGTTATTAAACCTCTTCATGCCTCAGTTTTGCTACAAGTATAACAAGGGCAGCAGTACTACTATTTTGAGTATTAAATCAGATATGCTGGGTGTTTAGCAGAGCTCCTGGCTCATAGTAAGTATTTCAGTAACATTAACTTCTATTCTAATCAAAATAATTAATTGTATTAATAATTATTTGTACCTCTCATCTCTATGCTTTTGCATGCACTTCTCCTTGCCTATAACAATGTGAAAATTTTTTTAAAGGCTAGATTAATTCCCATTTTCTACAAGAAACCTTACTCTTTCCAGCCCACAGTGATCTGGAATTTTGTAATCCCTACTGCCTCATGCTTATTCTTAGATTCTTGCCCCCACTCCTTTTTTTTTTTAGCACACAATAAAAAAGATTTGATCATACATTCTGGGATAAGTTTTTGTTAAGTATGTAAAGGCAAGAATGGAAGTCTAAAATCCATAGGAAAGAGAGATTTCTGCTTTGTTGAAACATGTGCTAAAAATAAAAAACCAGGCCGGGCGCGGTGGCTCATGCCTGTAATCCTAGCACTCTGGGAGGC